TCTCATCAGTGATTTGTTATAACTTATCAGAGATTTAAGATACTTTATTAACAGCTCAAGATTTTCACTGACAGCTCAAGATTTCTCATCAGAGACTTGATATATCTCACTGAAAAGTTGAGAATTCTTATTAGAGATTTAAGATATTCTGCTGAAAAGCTGCTATTTTTGCTAAAAGCTAAATACTGAGTGAGAATACTACTTATCTTTATTTCTTTTAAAGTTTGAAACTTTCATATTTTAATTGCATTCAGCATCATGGTCCTGGTGAATGAAAATATATATAAAGTTTTATTCTTTGTTTTTATCATACTTACAATCATTCAATTCAGATTATCTTTATTAAAAGAAAGAAAATACATTCACTTTGTCTTCAGATACAGACACTGCTCTGTCAGTCAAATTTCCTTCTTATACATTTCTGTATTTAGATGCCAGGTTCAGTGACATCTTTTTAACAGACTGCTTGATATCAGTGATGAGTTTGACTTTCTCTTATCTAACTAATATTTTTTATTACTATTATTATATTTGTTCTATATTCAGATATATTAACATCAGATTTCTTTTGAAATCAGTAATTTATCTCATTAAATCTATCAGATGAGAGAGTTCAGAGAGATCTAATAGAGAAGAATTCATCATAATATTCATTTTTAAAATCTTGATAAAACTCTGATAAATTTGTGAGATGAATTTCAACAAATTGCAGAAATATAATTTTGAAACAAAGAAAGTAGTTTGATTATTAATATTAAATTAATGTAGATTGTTATTAATTATAACTCTTATTAATATATCTTTTTTTAATAATTCAATCTCATCTCTTTATTTTATCAAGACTGCTTATTCACTTCATTTATATCTTTTCAACTATGTAACTTTTTTCTATAAATTATATCAGAAAGTAAAATATTGCATCTGTTTAATTAAAATTCAAAATGTTATCTACTATCTATCTCTAGACATGAATTGCCAGCGTGGCCCAGTTGGTAAGACTGGTAATCAAGGCCGCACACATTAGAGATGTGTGGGTTCAAATCCCACCGCTGGCACCTGCCACTTCTTACTCATGAAAGCCTTCATGTAATAGAGACTGAGTCTAATTAGTAAGACTTGGTGCAGGGTAGAACTCTCTACTGTAAGTCAAGTCACTAGTTAAGCAAGATTCTGTGAACACTTATCAGAGCTGGCATGAGATGTCAATATCTCACTATTCTACTGTGCACCTGTCAAGGTTCTAATGATATAGAGCCAAGCCTAATGTAGTGATTATACACTACTTAAGTAAGTCTCTAAAACTAGGGCTGTCATCAGAGCCTAGCTCTCCCTCAAATACAGGAAATGATTTTGAAAACCACTTAACTAGCAGGTCTAGACATGTATCTAGGCTCTAGACAGAGCACTCTGATAGACTAGAGCCTGCAAGCTTACTACTAATTTCTAATACTGATAGAGAGAACTGCAGTCATCAAGTCTATAATTAGTCTCTAACACAGAGCAAGGTTATAACAGCTGATTGATAGGTCTATGAGCATCTAATGAGACTGAGATTAGCAACTGAAAGCTTGGTGTGTATATCATCAAGTGAGCAGTGACAGTCACTAATTAATATCTCTGAAAATTAGTGACTGATCTGAGAGAATGAACACAGTGATCAGTTAATTATAGAGAATTAAATATAATTAGCTTAAAATGCATTCTGTGAGTGACTAGTGTCTGTAGTCTATTCTGATTTATTCAGATGGCTTAAAAAATGAGAACT